GCACAGGTAGAAAAAGATTTGTTGGTTGTTTGTTTTGCTTTCGGTAAATATAATGATTTCATTTTTGGGGACAGTTACTGCTGGTCATCAGACATTATCAGCGGTTGCAAAAAGAAGAGAGATAAAATTTGTAATAATCATCAGAAAGAAATGAAAGTGAAATCAGTATGTGTAATAGAGCCTAATGTAAGTGAGGGAACTGCACTTTGTAGCTGAAATGTTGTTGATATGCTGTAGAAGCTGAAGTTGAATTTTCAGAAACATTTGAATATGAAACCTCTGGCTGAGGATCCTTAGTTGATCCAAATAATTAAATTTCTAAACTAAAACATTTTTGTATTTATTTTGAAATAATGTTGCAGTCAGCAAGTTGCTAGAAGTAATAAAAATGTACTGATGACATGAAATTTGTGAAAGGTGGATGTCAAATTAATAGAAACATAGTAAAAGAATCAGTCAGTAAAGCATAAAATACAGGGTTATTCATAATTACAAAAGATCGCTAGACTTGAATGATGCAATGGATGGTAACATAGAATGCCGATAGAAAGAGAAACTCTCCAAGTTTATTTTACGTACCTCATAAATGCTCTGTGTGTCTGCCCCTTGTGACGCGGCAGACGTCAAGCCGATAATGCATTTCCGCCCATACTCACTGCAGCATGTCACGATCGATTTGTGAGATCGCAGCGATGATTCGTCTTTGCAGCTCAGCCAGATCCCGTGGCAGAGGCGGTACAAAGACCTGTTCCTTAACGTACCGCCGTAAGAAAAATCAAAAATAAAATTGATGTTTGGAGGATTTTGTTGTTAGAGTGGTTAAAGTGCATGCAAAGAGAAATATGTAAGGTTAGTGATAAATGATTTGAAGCTTTCACAGTGATGTAAACTCATTAAAATCTTTTCATGCGCTCAGCCATGTCACCTTTGTTCCCATCATCTTGATGGTGGGGACAGAGATGGTCCCTGAAACCTTGGTTTCTTCAACCAGTTGATGTGGCTGATTGCCCTAGAAGATTTTATTGAGAAAAATGTAACATTGCAAATAACGTAATTGTGTCACATTTATGCAGCAATGGCCTACGTGGTGTGGCATCAATAACACCTTTGAAATGTCAATGAACTCCAAAGAATGAACCTTTCTGGTCCTTTTCATATTGGTTGTGTGGTTCTGAGACTGATTGTTGTTTTCTCACACTTTTTAATAAGTAATAAATTCTAGGTTTATTAAAATATATTGCCACTTTTTCTACATTAATTGAAGTTGGCTGTATTTTTGATTGATTGTTTCTTGTTTTCAGGTTTATTAATTTTCTTTTGTTATGTTGAACCACATTATTCTTGTTGCATGATAATAAAATATTGGGAAGATTATATTTTTATGTTTTTTGCTTTTGTCTCATTTCAAAGTGTGGTTGTCCTTGAATTTGTGAGTGTTTAGTGTGTCCAGCTCAAAAGACCTTGGAGACTGCTGGTTAATATGACCATAGTTGAAGCACAGGTTTAACTTCAGGTTTCTTCTGACTTGTTAATGTAGCTGTCTTGTGCAGGGAAGGTCACTTTATTACTAATACAGAACAAATTGTTGCAGGTTTGATTGGAGCATTGCCGCCAGGTGCCATGCATCATTATGCTGCCCCACATATGGCTTTCCCTGGCCCCCCCATGCTCACGCCCATGATGCACCCACGCTTCAGATGATCAGGTTTGTTGGGGGGGCTGTGGCTACTGTGGTCTGATGGGCCCTAGGTTGGCAACCTCTTGTCTCTGCACCATATGTACGGTCAGTCGTCCCACATCTTCCTTCTAGTTGGTTTCTCCAATACAGTCACGTGTGGCTGGCCATTGTAAGAAATTATGTATTGCTTTTTTCTTAAGTTTCTCTGTGGACATTCTTAAGCATGGATCACATTGATTTGTTCTAGGACCTGCTTGAATTGGGATCACATGTAGCTAAATTGTATCAGGTTTTACTTTTGTGCAGACACTAAAATAATATTTCTACATAGTTTTATTGCAGCATATGGGATCAAGGGGGGAGAGAAGCAGGAACTATGTGATTTCTAGGTACTGGAAGGTAGAGTGACATAACACTTGGGCAGTCAGCTGACGGTAGTGTCTAGGCAAGTAAAGTTTGTAGTGGTATGAACATTATATAACTTCTGGTGAGAACCATGTCAGATGGTTGGTGTTAACAAACATGTCGGCAGTGTTTGCTGAAACAGTGGTTAACACCGTACATCTGATGCGGCTCACGACCGAAAGTCGAAGTTGTACGTTGAACTCCGGCTGCAAAAACCTACAGAAAAGGTATGAACGTTGTTTAACCACTGTTTACCAAAATCAAAACAAAAGTGTCTTTTGTGTTTTAAGCATGTCTTCTGAGGATTAAGTGTATAAGAACTTGTTGTTTCTGTAAAATTTCTGCCACAGCTGTTTCTAAATTAAAGAACTTGTAATATGGTGGGAACCTGTAAAACTGTCAGCATATTTCCATATCAGGAATGAAGTTTCAAAATATGAATTGCCTATATATCATTCAGATTCATATATGACAGTAGGTGGGAGCTACACTGTTATTTTGTCTGAATATATCTTGCGTTTACTTGTCCAAAGTTCAACACCACTAGTAGCATGTGAAGTGTGTTCTCACAACTTGACAGCATTGTGGATATCCCACTTTCTTAAAATATATATATTTGTAGCTAAATGTGATACTTCTTTTCCATTTTCAAGATGGCTGTCTTCTGGATTATTGTGCCATGTAGTCTGGTAGAAGTTTACTGACGTTTCAGCGGTCCTTGCTGCTTTGATCATTGCCCTGAAGTTGGAGGCAGCAAAGACCTCTGAAACGTCAGTAAACTTCTACCAGACTACATGGCACAATAATCCAGAAGATAGCCATCTTTAGACTCACTGCCGTGAAAACCTCAAATCCTACACACCAACATTTTACTGCAATTAAAGAAACACTTGAAATGCTCCTCCCCCCCAAAAAAATTGTGTATAATTATTAAGTAGTAGCCACCCACTTCCTGTCTTGTAGGTATCCTAGAATAAACAGTAATTTTTACCATTTTGAGATTGTGGTACTCCATTGAATATGGTTCATCAAGAAAATGTTGAGTTACATATCTGATGAAGACCTTGGTTTTTATTAAGAATTATCTTTTTCATTAACTTTCAAAAATGTTGTAAAAGCAAGTCATAAGACCTTTTTTTTAAATAATGTTTTGTCACTTGCTGTGAATGCATATGATTTAATAACTTATATACAAATGTTCTTTTCCTCCCTGTGTGACTTAATTTTAATTGAATCTCGGATGAGAACATGCAGTTTTCAAGTAATTACATTGTGTATCATTCCTGATAAAAGGTGCATGCTGAAAAAATGGAAGAATGCAAAGAAGTTGATATTGTTCTTTCATCGTTTTATTCACAGCCAAATACTGTTCAGTTGTTTAAAAATATCCTGCTGTTGAATCCTCTAAACCTCTCAGTCCACTATAAAAGAGAAATATTAAAAATAAACTTCATTCCCAAAGAGTAATATAATTTGGTTTTATACTTCACAGTAATTTTACCTAGACTTTGTAAAGTAATTTAGAAATGGGAGAATTTTTATCAGCTGTTGCCACAAATGTAATGAATTACCATTTTGAATTAGGTTTGTAGATGGATAAATCAACTCACGCATTCTAGAGCTAGGAATTGCCAAAGTGGAAATGATTTTGTTCAGTTTGTGTGAATTTCTTTGATTCTGTTTTACATTTAAATAACAGAAGTTTGTTGATGACTGTGGGCATGAATTTTATTTGTGAGGTAATTTTGCCATTGCCACACATGGAGTGATTCTGATTCTTTCATCCAACAATATATTTTGTCATTTTTACGTATTTGCTTCATGACTTATCAATTTGTGAGAGACGCACTCTTCCATCTGCCAACCTATGGACTATAATGTCATTGTTGGATGGGAGTTGCTTGAATTAAAATCTCAACAGCAACAGTGAAATGATCAGTAACGTAATGTATTGAAGAAACTTTGTTGCAGTTGTTTTTACATTGTCATTGACTTTGTAAAGGAAAAAGGAATGCAAAAATTTAACTTAGTGGTAGTCACAACCTTGCTGCCTGAGTGCTGTATTGGAGTTGGTTGGTGGTAATGATGTGTCGTGTTCAGTGCTGATGAGAAATAGTTTGGAATATGGTAGTAAATACGTGTGCCCATTTGGTTCTCTGTTTTCTCGTCATGTTATGTTGCAAGGCTGTCCACCACTAACGTGCAGTTGCCACAGCAAGTCGTACGAGCAAGTATGTGCTCTGTATAATGTTGATGTGTGGTGATGAACACAGATTGTGTGTCTTGTGGCACAGCTATCAGCATGAACTGTTCTTTATTGAGGGCCTAGCGCGTCGTCCGCGTCACCCGCCTCTGCGCAGGTAAAGCAGACACTTTCTACTGTAGGGTTGTCAATCGATTGAATTATGTAATAATTTTAGGTTGAGTAGTACTTTGTGTAGTGATCAATAACTTTACTATAGTTTTTGTTTGGAGATTTCATTTGTACCATCTCATGTATTGGTTCAGAATTCTTGGTGGTGATTAGGTTTTGTACTGTGTCCAGTACCTTATGTGTCGATAGACAACCCTGTTTTTTAATCTTATCTACAGTCATATAGCATCATCCTGTACTGGTATAGAACTTCAGGTTAGTGTGGCAAGCCTTATTAATACAACTTACCCTTTGTCTGTACACTAGCAAAGAAGGTAAGGTTGCTCTGAAGAAGAATAATACATTTCTAAGCTTCTTTGGGACTGCATTCTACCTAATAGTGTGATATAATAAAAGGTTGAAACTAGATACATGTTATTTTACACTGGAATAGTTAATGTAGATTTTAGTGGAATTTTGGCTGATCCAGTCTGGGCGTTCTTTTATTAATTGTGACTTCGAGACGTGTTGGTCCATTTCAGTAATGATTTACAAGGACAGAACATAACACTCTGGGACTGACTAGTTTTTCTAAGAACTAAAAATCATACCAATTGAACAAATTCCTTTCAGAGTACTTTTTAATCCTTACTGAACACAATGGTTCCATTGGTCGTTTCGCTCGTTAAAGCACTTGGTATTCAGATTTTCAAATGATGTTTAATTGTTTCACTTTGGAGGGTGTCTTGCACCTTCTGAAATCTGTTCCCCCTTTGGGTACTCAGGAATCGAGGAATATTAAGTAAGGCGAGTGGAAAACCAGTGGAATGTTGTGCTCCGTGTACAGAGTGTCTAGCAAACAAAGTGCAGTTGAGAGTTTCTTCTGCAAATGGAGTTAAGCATTTTGTAGGTTTTGTGGCCATGTTGCTAACTTTCACACAGAACGTGATGCACACACATTATTTCATAATGTTAGTCATTTCACAATGTGGTGTAGGCTATGAAGTTTTGCACATGACAATGTAAACAGGTGCAAACATTGATTTATTGTCAGTCTGAGAATTTTATGATTTGCCCTTGTATGTATCTTAGTTTGAATAAATCATATACATTGACTTTTTCACAATGTTTTAACTGCTTTCACCACTGGATTAATATCAGTTGAAGAAATTGGCAACTTTTGATGGGCCACTCTTGCTAATTATTTTGCCCTTTAAATATCCTCACTAACCTTGCATCTAAACATGTAGAGTTGTTGGTAAAATAGATTACTCTGGCAGGAGTTTCTTGTTTTCGGTTTTGCAATGCTTTTGTATCATGACCTCTGCCATTGTTAGATTGTTGGATGTTGCGTATTGTTATACAGGAAAGAAGTTTGTGTCCACTTCAGAAAAAAAATATGCCATTGGTATCAGGATGCTGTCATCTTTCAGTAACTTGTCACATTTTTACAGCAATCTTAGGTGGTTGGTTTTTGAAATATTTAAATAAATTGTGCTTTTGTTTTTGAAATTTCACAAGTCATATATTTCAAGAAATCACTGTTCAGTATCATTCCATACACAGAAATCATCTGTTGAATAAAAAAGTATTTTTGATTCTGTCCAGTAAGATGCTTACATTGTTGGGCTAGTAATGTTTTGAGTTCAAGAAAAAATGTTCATGAAAGTTCACATTCATGTTACCTTATCCTGCTTTAAAAGCATTGTAGACATTCAGTGAAATGAAAACTACTGGCTTTATCTTTTATACTAAAGGATGTGAACTGATGTGTGTGCTTGCTCTGCAGTTGGTGTTGCAGTGTAAGTAAGTGGCTTATGGATTGGTAAAACATTAGTTCAAAGCTGTGGCATTTAGTGGAGGTAATGCTGTGAATTCTAATTTCGTTCACTGTTGGAGTCATCTCCCCCCCCCACCCCAGTATAAATTTGTAAATTAATATTTATAATCACATAATAATTTTTACTAGACTTTAGAAATATTTAAATGTTGAAAGGTTTAATATCTTGACCCTCTAACTTCCCATATGTAGCAATTTTTCTGCATTTTTATATGGAACAGAGGCAACAGAACTTTCTTGTTATAAAATGACAACCAGTACAGTTTCAGCACAAAAACACTTCTGGTCCACACAGTTAAGTTACAGAACAACATACCATATTTTATCTCATAATTAATGACAAATGTTATTAGGTGTTATGTAATCGCTAGTTACTCTGATTGTATAATCTCTATAAATTTCTTTAGAATTATTATGGATTTTTTATTTGTAACTGAAGTACTCAGAACATTTTTCTTTTCTTTTTATTTCCCAATTTTGATATATTTGCTACCTTTCTGTGAGTTTATGACATTTACCTAATTGCATGGGCAAAAATCAGTTTCCAATGTGATGTGATTTAGTATTTCTCACTGCTTTGATAGAACACATAAACACACAGATCAGTGTTGCCAATGAAGCAGAGGAATGAATATATCTGAATCACAAAATGACAATATGGCGTATAGCCATAGTATTTGCTATGGTAGTGAACATGTTAAGTTTCTGGGAGTTCAGTTCACATTATTTGTTTTCTTCTTCCTACTTAATTTGCCCAAGAGGGAGCTTATCCTCCATGTTTATAGTAGTGGAAAGGAGGTTTCCTGCTGTGGTTTGTTTGTCAGCAAACAGTGTAACTTGGTCGGCAAGAAAATCTAATAATCAGAAGAATTAAGAAGATAGTGGATTGTTTACTCTGGTTCTGCTTTGTAATATGTTGTATACTAAAAAGATTTTTTGAAAACTTTTTGTTGTGACTTTGGAATTGGAATGGGTGAACATGAGCTGGAAGCATGGCTGCTGTCACTGTGAAATCAGTTTTGATCAAATTGCCTGCCATACTTTGCATGAATGAGAGAGGTCTTTTGAGTCTTCAGAATTTCTTCTGCCTGGGTATCTCTCAGCTTAGAGACATGTCCAACTGCTAGTGAAATCTACAACAGGTCGTCATCCGCATTTTTGAGCGTGAAATAATGGACAGAGATATTGAACTTATTAGACCTTCAGGATTACTAAATTTCTGGACTTTGTCCATCGTTTAATATTCAAAACAACGTTTCAGAAACTGAATCTCTTTCCAGAGTGTCTTATTACGAATACCACATGAAGTACAAAGTCCAAGAATCCCAAGCGTAACACCATTGTCAGAACACTTTAAAATTGAATCATTAGATCTTTGCACATAATTATTCATTTATTTTGTCTTCTTTCAGTTCCATTTAGATTCTCTTTTGCTTCATGTTTCATATTCTTTTATTTTGTTACTTGGATGTTTTCAGTTGCATGGAAGCAACTAAATTATCATTATTGCATTGGAGGAAAGCCAAATCCTGGCAAAGGCGCCATAATTGTTATGCTGTGCTTGTATTTCTTAACTAGTTTGTATCACTTTTGCTGCCTGTTATGTATTTATTTGAGCATTATTTTTAATTTTGAGTTAATTGGGTTGTTGTTTAGGGTGTGTTGGTATGTTGATTAAAGGTAGATAATATATGGGAGCAACTGTGTGACTGCTTTGAAAGCTTGAACTTAAAAGGATGCTTAACAAAGGTGACCCCACTGAACAAGTATCTGACCGTAACTGCTAGTGTTACTGTTGAAAGTATTATGGTTCATTATTTTGTATCCAGTTGAAAATCGTGCTGCTGTTCAAAATGTTTAAACTGACTTCTTCCTATAGCCTGAATTCTTTTGTATCTTTATCTCCGTGTCTTAGCCCTTGTGTCATTTTCTGTCCCCTTTCCTGAAAGCTATAACAAAGTAGGTGAGGAGATGCAACATTGTTTGTAAGCTGTGTCCCAGTTGCTTCAGAATGATCTTGATAGTCCAGAAACAAAACTGTTAAACTGTAGGGACATAGTTCAGCAGTTCAAGACAAAGTATTTAGGTCTGGATGTACCTTAACTATAATACTTGTTCGGACTCGTGTGCCTGCAGCGTGGTTGATCTTTCACAATTTCATAATTATTTACCCCCCAGTTTCCTGTTGATATTTGTAAAGTTACAACAGCAATTTCGAAGTTTGAAGTTTTTCCCAGCACTGAAAATGTGGATTTTGCTCTATATTCTTGTAACCTCCTGCCTACAAGACCACATTAAACAGTACTTTAATTTTACTGCATTTTGAAATAATATTCTTCTGAGTACAAACATTAAGTTGGCAGTTGTAGCATTGCAGGTGTTATTGCTTCAGTCAGATCTGAATAATACAATATACGCTGATGAAGCAAGGCATAAGATTTTTAATTCATGTTTATTCCCGAACTAGGTAAGCACAATGTCTGTGCTCACATGTCAAAACAAAAGCCTACGGAATTGTTGCAGAGGTTTCAATGTGCTACATCAAATGCATTCATTTCAGTTCAGGTGATGTGACCTTATGCTACACACTCAGTGAATCATGCTAAAATTTCAAGTATTAAAGAGAGAATTATTATCTGAATTCTCAGCCAGTATTTTTCTTTTTCACCTGTGTGAATTGGGTTTGCAAGGTTCAAGCACAGCACTCAGAATTTTGCAAAGGTGAAAAATAAATATCAGGTACAATACAGAAGGGAACTGCTTATGCAGTGTTGTATTCTTGTGTTGTCGGCATCTGTTCAGAATAAAACTGTGATATGTGGGAGTAGATTGATAATTCATATGCTCTCAGATTCTGTCCATATTTGAATGTAAGCAACATTAATCTAGGTGAGCACTTGATATCACTCGCCATGACATCTGGCCTAAGCAACATTGCATATGGCTTGTTGATGGCCACTTTTACTGCTCTGTGAGCTGGTTCTTGACTACTGAGGATTGACCTTCATTGCATTTATATATGTATTATACAGCTGTTCTGTGTTCTTCCATCATATCAGTCTATTACAGTGGCTTACTGCACAAGAAGACTTCACTTCATTCAGTCTCACTGATGAATGCTCCTTTTGCATTTGTCATTAATTGAAATTTGTTAGAATGAGAATGAAAACTTAATGTTGCTTCTCTTAGAACTAATCATTAAATATTGGAGTGTCACTTGTATACAATTACATATTGGGATCTTCAAAGTAATTTAGAAGGGGGTAGACTGAATTCTCCGATAAACATTTTGTTATAATTACTCTTGAATGTGAATATTTGGCATTGTTTTCAAAATATCTTCCATAAAGTACTGCATTATTCTAATTTTTAATTTTGTCGCAAATTTAATTGTAACAAAATTATCATGGCTGTCTTTGTAAGGTAGGTGAAACAAAGCCAAACAACTGGAAATTTGTAATCTGCTGTTGTGTTTTATTGTAAAACAAAGTTATGTTCTTTTCCTTCTTAAGGCCCTTGATTTGGTCAGCTGCCTTCAAGATAATTTCTTTCCTAGTACATTATTTTCTAGCATTGGGTGTAGGGTTGCATTACTTTTCATGGAAATTGCAGTCTGTGATATTAGTGAGCTGACTGAATCAGAGGTTATGTTTGGTAGCATGAAAGACAGGTGGTGGCAATGACCAATCAGCCAGTGTGACAGTCTGGACCAAGTCCAAAGGTAGTACCAACAATCACAGCTAGAGGTAGCTGTTGGACTCGTCAGTCCCCTGTCTTCCCGACAGGCGATTGTATTTTGTATATATCACTCGCTCACGTGTCTCAGCCAATCACAGCACGTTGCTGTTGGACTGTTGTCAGTCCCCTGTCTCCTGACAGGCGATTGTATTTTTTTTGCAACAACCAATCACAGCATAGAGCTGTTGGACTGCCATTAGTCCCCTGTCTTGAAGGCAGGCGATTGTTTTTTTGTTTTTTTCCACAAGTGACCAATCACAGCACCAGCTGCTGTTGGACTGCCATGCCAGTCCCCTGTCATCATTGACAGGCGATTGTTTAATTATTCATCCAATCACAGCTTGTTGCTGTTGGACTTATCAGTCCCCTGTCTCTGTTTACAGGTGATTACATTTTATCTCATCTGCTTTTCCACTGTCATGTCAATTAGAAGTTAATATATATAATATATAGAAGTTTTACTTCTGTTGCAAGGAACTAGAATAATAATAACATTCAAGAAGTCAAGTAAGTTGAAATGTTTGTATTTGGTTACTGCTGAGTGTTTGGTTGCCTTTTGCTACTGACTTGCATTAGCATAGTTAATTTCATTGTTTTGTATTCCTTACTGTATTTAATATGTAGAAACTTAAGGAAAAGAATAAAATAACTTTAAGAATATATTTCATTCCTATTTTTAAATACCGTTCTTATGCAGTTCATGGAAGTGTCTCATGCATGTTCTTGATGTACTCTTCAGTGTTGGAATAAATGCAGATTTTTTAAAACTGGTCCTGATTATGCTGTTTTAATTGGAAGGTAATTAAAATATAAACTGTAAAAAAATATTCTAATGTATGTGTCTCTGCAAATGAACTGCATACTGTTATGTATCTTTCAAAGTGTGGGGTGTCTTCATAACAGCTGATGAAAGCTTCCTGTTTCCACCCCAGTGGTTTGAAGTTGTTTCTTACAAGACTTATGTACTCGCAGAAATGCTGTGCGCACACACATTAAAAAAATTATGCCATCAATCCATTGCTTTGAAGTTCTGCATACAGGAAGTGGGTAATAGAGTAGTGGTCAGAAATCCATACAAATTGCTTTCTGAAAAACATTGTGTGTTTCAATTCTGGTTTTTGATGGACAGATTCTGTTGCCATATGTGGGGAAGTATCTGTATATTCCCAATAAAACTTATAATTAACACTTGGCCTGTCTCATTATAAAGACTACAGCATTATGCTATCAGTAGCCATTTTGTGTGTGTTACATGTTAACCCTTTCCATATGGGTGGCTAACATTTTATCCACAATCATAAGATTTTATACAGGATGAGGATAAATTTTGGCCATGGAGACTTATTTTTTTTACACAAGCACATAATTGTTTGGCTAGATGATATTTTTTAAGAGGAGCTTGATTTTGGTATGCTTAGACTGGATCCACATTGTGTGATAGTTACTTGTATTACTTGTTAGATCTACAGTTATGAATTCATGACAGAACTGATTTTCATAGTAGGATTTGGGGTTTTCATGGCAGTGAGTATGAAGATGACCGTCTTCTGATTTTGTTAACTTTATGGACTGAAGTTTGATGTATTTCAAAACTAGTAATTTTGCTGCCTGGCACCATAGTGAAATTTTTAAATTTCTGATACTGAATGTATTTTCGTCTTACTGGATAAAATGATTATTGTTTAAACCCCATACTGTGGGGCTGCGATCCATACT